ATGGCTAATTTTGAGAAAAGAAGGGCTAGGGGGGACAAGATAGCAGGAATTCCAAATTTTGGGGGGTGCCACAAAGAAGATGGGGGGGGGGGTTCAGCTTATTTTCCAAAGCACCAGAGAGCAGGACAAGAAACAATGAATGGAAACTAATCAAGGAGAGAAGCATCCTGGAATTAAAGAGAAACTTCCTAACAGTGAGGACAATTAACCAGTGTAACAGCTTGCCTCCAGAGGTTGTGGGAGCTTCATCATTGGAGGATTTTAAAGAGGCTGGATAGTCACCTGTCTGAAATAAACTGGAAGAATTCCAAGGTCCCTTCTAGCTCTATCTGAACTGAAATTCAAAATCAAACAACTGTCTAAAAAGGTAAAGGTTCCTCTCACATATATGTGCTAGTTGTTCTCAATTCTAGGGGGCTCATCTCTATTTCAAAGCGAAAGAGCCAGCAGTGTCCAAAGACATCTCCGTGGTCATGTGGCCAGCATGACTAAACACCAAAGGTGCATGGAACACTGTTACCTTCCCACCAAAGGTCCCTATTTTTCTACTTGCATTTTTACATGCTTTCGAACTGCTAGGTTGGCAGAAGCTGGGACAAGTAACGGGAGCTCACTTCGTTATGTGGCACTAGGGATTCAAACCGCTGAACTGCTGACCTTTCTGAATGACAAGCTCAGCATCTTAGCCACGGAGCCACTGCATTCCTTAAGCAACTGTCTATTGTTTAATAAAATTACAGTTGGAAGATTTCCTGCGTTTCATAGATTTGGCAAAATTGTTTTCCTCCTTGCCTGCTTACATAAAATGAAGAAAAAATTCTCAATTGCTAAGAAAGAATCGTGATAAAAAAGACTCCTTAAGTTCAGAAGACATTGAAAAGCAAGGCTGTTCTTGAATGAGCCATTTAAGAGTGAACCTCTCTATTATTTCGGAGAGCAGAATGCACTATGGAACAGTTAACTTTTTAAAAAGTAGACAACATACCTGGGTGTGAGTGGGAGGAATATTGCGCCTGCCATAGATCCCAAGCAGGGAATCTTTTGCCAGGGAGACGTTGAATTTCAGGTACAATGGATGATGGATCGTGATCTGGAACCGCCAAAAGAGGCCTGGTGGGATCGTCTCCATCACCTGATCTCCAATTTCAATTTCTCCCGTGTCTATTGCCTGTCCCTTCTGAAATACTATATCTCAAAAAAAAAGAAAAAGGACAAAAAGAAAAGTTACAAAGAGAACATGCTTTTCAAAGGCATTGAAAAGGCAAAAAACGAGCAGCCTCCAAATCAAGATGAATTTGCCTCTTAAGGGAAAATGCACTAGAGGCGGCTTATAATATGAAACCTCAGGGAGCTGGAGGAATATTTTCTCCCTAATGCGGAGGTTCCCAATCTTTGTGGCTTGGCAGCTGAGCTGGTGTTCTGACCCAGGCTTCCTTAGAAAGCAAGAAGCAAAGTTTGGGTTGTGACAAAACCTCTTTTATTTATATGACTGTCAATTCCTTTCATTCACAGTCAGAAATGCTTAGCAAACAGTCTTTCAGAGGAATGTTTATCCACACGGACCTTATCTCGTTTAGAGTGCTGCCAGATAACTAGTTTCCAAACACAGGGCAAGGCAAAACTTGGCACAGAGTCTCTTAGAACCACCAACAGAACTTTCCAGACTGAATGAATGAATTGTTTCCTGCAAAATCCCACTCCCCGTTTGTTCCTCTTTTGTTTCCTATGGGAGGGGCAAATCACCTCCAAGGTGTGGCTTTACTGTTAAGTCGACCCTGCTTTCTTAGTTGTTCTTGTCTTCTGNTCGCCCCTCTCACATTTTGATTTTCTTATTTCCTTTCCTCAAATTTGTAATTTTGTTTGACAAATAAACTAAATAAATCTTGCCTGAATTTGCATATTTGCAATGGAGTACGGCAATGGGATGTGTGTGTGTGTGTGTGTGTGTGTTTTCTCATCTGGTTCCTTCTGTTAAAGGAAATGACAAATCATCCGGAGCTGATCTGTGCAATATGGGCTGAATAGTCCTGCAGGGACTTACTGTAGCTTCTACTACCCTGACATGGCACTGCTGAAAATGCCACTTTCTTTTTCATTTCCCCTAAAATATGGATCGCTATGATCCTCCACTTTCATTTAGACTTTTAATGCACCAATGAATTTCAGGCTAACTTAGAAGGTTAAGACTGGAAATTTGCCTTTGAAAGATCTAGTATTTACCTCACTGAGTACTCCCACTTTTCCAAAAAGCCAACAAAACCCACCCATGCCCTTTCTAGTTGCACTCACTCACTTGAAGCTTTCAAGAAGACATCGGACTGCCATTTGTCAGAAATGGTATAGGGCCGTGATGGAGAACCTATGGCACGCATGCCACAGGTGGCACACGGAGCCATTTGTTAGGGCACGTGAGGCGTTGCCCTGTCAGCTGACTTCGTTGCCCTATCAGCTGACTTTTGAGGCCATTTTTCGCCCTCTGGAGGCTTCCTTGCAGCCTGAGGAGTGTGAAAAACCAGCCCTACAGGCAAACTGGATGCGCGGAAACGGAATTCCGGTTTGCTCGTAGGACCATTTTTTGCCCTCCAGAGCCTGCAGGGAAGCCTCCTGAAGGCCCCTGAAGGCACTGGGGGTCAAAAATTGCCCCTATGGACAAACCGGAAGTTACTATTCCTGTCCGTAGGTCTGTTTTTTTGCCCTCCGGAGGCTTCAGGGAAGCTCCTGAAGCCTCCGGAGGGCCTCCAGGGGAGGCTGCGCCAAAAGTGTGTGTGTATGGGGGGGGGGTTGTTTGCTGGTCATGTGTGCATGCGTGCACAGGGGGCACCGTGTGCATAGCATTATGGGTGTGGCATGCCCATGAACAACCCCCCTGCGCTCCCCCCACTTTTGTCACAGGAACCATAAAAGGTTAGCTATCACTGGTATAGGGTCTCCTGCTTGGGTGGAGGGGGTTGGACTAGATGACCTACAAGGTCCCTTCCCACTCTATTAATCTGATTCTAATGATATCATATAGTGATCAGTTGCAAATCTCCAGACGTTTTGGAAGCCAACTTGGTTCACTGTAGTGGTTTAGGTAGAGCATGCAGCATTCTTGGGGGTTTTACAAGCCAGAATCATAAACCACGATTTCTTGGATAATGAATTCTGCTTGGCTTGGGAGCCACAAGCCATTATTCTCAGATACAGCTGAAATTTTAAGCCTCTTTATCCATGGAAAGCGCAGATAATCAAGAATTGAAGCTTCACATTTCATCTGAAGATGCTCTGCTGTCTTTGCAACTGAGCATTCCTATTTAAATTAATCTTAAACTCCACAGTACTGAGACCACCAGAAAAATCGAAATGTTCCTATGCTACTGTATAATTGCATTTCAGAATTTCATGTTCCCAACTAATCTGGAAAGAAAATCAAATTGTGAGTGGCAGGTGGGCTCTTTTTGTTCTGTGAAAAAGTTTATGTATCATGCTAAGCCATTTCAATTTGGTTTTTTTTAAAAAAACAACCTGGTTTAGTCAAAGTATAAATCCTGCCGATTGTAATTATTCATGCTAACCTTGTTTATATAAACTGATTCAGAACCTTTCCCAACCAAATAAACCCCAAATATGTGGAGCTGATGAAATAATGATCACACATATATCTGGAACACACGGTATGTGCTGAGACCCCAGTGGTGGGATTCAAATAATTTAACAACCGGTTCTCTGCCCTAATGACCAGATGGTTAGGTGTGGCTCTGTGGTCATGTGACTGGGTGGGCGTGGCCAACTCAACGTCACTTAGGTCGATGGGTGCTTTTGCCTTAGCTGTTACAATGTAATAAGGGTTAACCGGAGAGGCAGTTTCTGTAAGCAGGGCAACAAAGATTAGGCTAGAAACAACCCCAGAATGTTTCCGTCCTTACAGGATTAGCCCTGAGAAGTGGAAAAAAACAAAAGGAGATTTCTTCCAACAACCGGTTCTCCGAACTGCTTAGAAAGTTAACAACCGGTTTTCCCGAATAGGTGCGAACTGGCTGAATCCCACCACTGGCTGAGACCCTACTGTCTCCATCAAATCTATGAGAAAATAAAAAAATATGATCTCTTACCAATTGCTGTGGTCAGCATAAGGACTTGCTCCACTTTCTTGCCGTCGTTGTAAAATGCCATGTGCCACGCTCCTTGGTCCATATATTCTATGAAACCAGTTTCTTGCATGGACATTAAAATTAGATTTCTGGGCCCCTGGTGAGATTCTTCAAAATGTCTTGGTTCCTGTTTAATTAGCTGTTTTCCATCCATTAGTTTTACAAAGTCAAACTGAAACAGCACAGATTACAGAAATGATCAAATGAATTCTTGTTGCCTTTCATCTCAGAGGAATCCTTTATTTATTTATATTCCATTCCTTTTCTCCTTGACATCGACAGCAATGTGCTGCCTCTTCAAAGTTAGTTCCCAAACCCAAACTAAACTTAGTTTAAGTTCACCAATTCCTTCCACGACCATTAAAAGGAAGCTGTTTTAGTGCTTTGTGAATTAGATACTAATAACCTGACTTTGATTGAAGCATGGACATATTTGAACAAGTATTTTAATCAGTTGGATGATTTGGACATATAACATTATCCTTCACCAGATCCATGCTGGTCACCAATAAAGGTTCTTGTTCTACAATCAACATAGTACTAGCACTTAGACGTACAGTATATACAACTTCACAGCGCATTACAGCAGTCAATAAGGATAAATTTTCTGACAGTGAGAGCAATCAACCCATGGAACAGAAGTTGCCTTCAGAAGATGTGGGAGCTTCATCAGTGGAAGCTTTCAAGAAGAGATTGGGACTGCCATCTGTCAGAAATGGTGTAGGGTCTCCTGCTTGGATGGGAGGTTGGACTAGATGACTTACAAGGTCCCTTTCACCTCTGTTAATCTGAAAGCAGTTTACAGAGTCAGCATATTGCACCCAGCAATCTGGGTCCTCATTTTACTGACCTTGGAAGGAAGGATGGCTGAGTCAATCTTGAGCTGATCACAACCAAACTCCTAACAGTGGGCAGAGTTAGCCTGCAATTATGCATTCTAATCACTGCACCACCATGGCTCGTCTTTTATCTAACCCTGATATCTTGCTCTCTATATAGGGATTCTACACAGAGATTCATTTATCCAGTCTTGAAGAGGTTTCCCACCATGGGGTGTGATTATTATTACTTCTTTCAGATCCAAACTCAAAAATATCCTCCCAAGTTGTCCAGTTTTCTGCTACCATCTGTACAATCAATTTTCAGGCACTTAGTTATTTGTCCCTTTTAATAACACTATTCTTATTTTATGACTTATGTTCCCATTTATTTTTAGATCTCATTTTCGGCATTGTATTTTTGTTTTATGTATCAGTCCTACCATTAGATATTTTACTGTACAGATAGTCCTCAGGTTAGAGCCATTTATTCAGGGATCTTTCAAAGTTATGACAGGGCTGAACAAAGAGAAGCTGCGACCAATTTTTGAAATTCATACCCCTGAAGTATTCCCATGGTCACGTGATAAAAATCTGGATGCTTCATGACCAACCTTCATTTATCATTGGTTTTAATGTGGTTTTAACTGTGAAGGGGATCTTGGAGTGGACAACTAGCTAAATATGAGCCAACAATGTGCAGCAGCAGCCAAAAAAGGCGACTCAGTCCTAAACTGCATTAACAGAGAGATACAATCAAGATCAAATGAAGTACTAATACCACTCGAAAAAGCCTTAGTAAGACCACACCTAGAGAACTGCATCCAGTTTTGGTCACCACACTATAAAAAAGATATCGAGACTCTAGAAAAAGTGCAGAGAAGAGCAACCAAGATGATGAGGGGACTGGAGACTAAAACATACGAAGAATGGTTGCAGGAACTGGGCATGGCTAGTCTAGTGAAGAGAAGGACCAGGAGAGACATGATAGCAGTCTTCCAATACTTGAGGGGCTACCACAGAGAGGAGGGGGTCAAACTATTTTCCAAAGCACCTGAAGGCCAGAAAAGGAATAATGGATGGAAACTGAACAAGGATAAGTTCAATCTGGAAATAAGAAGAAATTTTCTGACAGTGAGAGCAATCAACTCATGGAGCAGAAGCTGCCTTCGGAAGTTGTGGGAGCTTCATCATTTGAGACTTTCCAGAAAAGATTGGATTGTCATTTGTCAGAAATGGTGTA